CGCCGCTGCTCCCGGAGGCCTTCCCGGGCACTGGGAGACCCCGGCCGGCCCCCGCCTCTGGCCCTAGCCCCCCGTGACAAAAGCGGCAGAACCTGGACCAGACGAAGGCAGCAGGAACTCTGTCTCTTGCTACACCAGACGCTAAGGGAGGAATAATGAAGTTGTCAAGAACTAGATTAACTTTGTTCGAGATGGTAGCTGTTAGCGTGAGGACTTGCCTTCCAGAACTGTTCCTGACGGTTCCTTGGTTTGCTCCGTCATTAAACAAGAAACCCCTCACCACACAACTCTTATTTTTACATGAAGCTGTTCAAAAAGTGAGCTGCGAAGCTGAAACATCCGAAAACACAAGAAATGGGGGGAGGAAAACAAGAAAAGCTTTAAAAATCCAGAAGCCTGTTGATGGGAGAGAGAAGTTAGAGAAAAGCAAATCAGAGACAGCCCTTACTATAACCTGAACGTAAGCAGCATTCCTAAAAACAAGACACATGAGATACTGCCACTGATAGCACATCTCCCTGGTGCCAACGGTAAGAGCCCCCTGACTTCCTGCAGAAGCCTCAACAGACGTTATTGTCCAAGATGATAGGAGAAAGCTTACTGGAAATAAAAGTGTTTAATGTTCTCTTTCTATGGCAGGTAGTGGACCTACATCTATTATAGTAATGACTTGTTCTGAGATTGTATTTAAATTGGCAGTCCAGAACGGTACCTTCTCTCTTGCAAGCGCCCACCATACCAACTTAGCAAACAACTCGCATGGAATCTCTTGTACTTCAGGTTCCTGCTGGCAGCGTTGGTTCCAGCAATTCAAGTCACGCATAGACTTTACTTGCCACTACTGTGAGTATTTAAACAGGAATTTGCTTATCCTGAAAGTCCAGGTTTGGGCAAATACCCCATGGCTCTAACAGACCAATTTTTGGCACCCAGCTAAGAGGGATTTTGTTGCACAGGGATACTGTTTTGTATGTTTATCCCACTGTGATTCAAAATAGCTGTTTTCTCAGGCTTGTCCATTCAGAATGATATCATGTCCCAAGCGCTCTTGTTAAATTAATTGCCTGAGTTTTCTTTGTTTTACATAGTTGGATATGTAAGGCTTGTTGCCTGTGAGCTCATGGAAATAACTTCATTTGAGCAATTGTTCCATCCATCTCTCTAAAGTCTTTGTAGAAGATAATTAAAAACTGCTTCCCACCCTAAACAGAAACCATTTGTAGCCATGACACAGTTTGCAACCATTTTTTTCCTAGGATCCTTCTATTCTTTCCATGCCACTTTATTAAGTATTGGTTAGATTTGGTTTAAAAAACAGAAATCAAAATAGCTAAAGAGCTTTGAGCATTTTTTTCCTTGCACATGAGTTTAATTCCACACAGGTAGAAGCTGTAATGAAAAAGAAGCACAGAACAGCTGTAGCTGTGTCCAAACGTATCACATAGGACTTACCCTCTTTAACAGCAAAATAGTGTTTTACCATAGAAATAAGAATGGCACAAACCATGGAACAAAAATGCAGGTTTAAAAGCAAAAATGGTCTTCTGGGACAAGCCTCAACTTTACTGCCCGTGCAGTCTGGGATATTTTCCCTTTTAGAAACTTGGAAGGCCCATGAAAACTACCCTTCCTGATCTTTAGAAGGGTAGATTGTCCCCTGCCCCTCTATTTCTTGCTGAGATATGTAGAGGGGTGGTTGTCACCGCTTTTCTAGAATAACAGATGCCTGGGCTGGAAAGATAGGAGTCCGTCTCTGGAGGAAGGGAAATGACTCACAGCTGAACTGTGAGAAGTTTAGGGACACAAAAGGCAGAAATTGGGTCCTTTGGGGCCACAAGGCAACAGGAGGAAGAAGGAGCCCTCCCCTCTGAAACAAAGGACAGATTTCATCCTCCTCCTTGTGGTCTGTGATGAACAGCGATGGCTGGGACAGGCCTGCCAGTGGTGCCATGCCTATGTCCCCCTCTCTTCATCTTCTCCACAGCCACGTTCATGTGATAGACTGCACAGCCCTACTCTGGCTATGGGCACCAGCGAGAAGAACGTGAGTGGGTGAGCATCTCATGGTTTCTGCACTGCCCCCTCAGCGATGAAGCACCAGCTGTCTCTTGTTTAAGCTACAGCATTGTAAAAAATGGGTGCCACTTGCTAGAGACTAATGGGCAGAAGAGTGTCATTCATGGGCACAAGGTCCCTTGAAGTAGCAGAAAGCAACTTTCCCAGGTGTTGGACATCTGATGTATCTGTGCAAGTCCCAGAGCCAGAAAGATGGTCTACACCAAAAGCACTACTGAATGCTGAAAAGCACCTCTGTTCCAGCTTTGCCTTATTCCAAAGCCTGATATATACCTTGTCACGTACCCTAACACTTATACATGAGCTGTCATGGAATAGGATCAAAGAGAAAGTCCACACCCAAGAATGCCATGACAGATTATTTTCCTCTCTTCACCTACAGGAACTTCATTCGAAAAAACCTTCTTTATACGCAGTTCCCATACACAGCAGAAGGATGCAACCATGGCTTGTCCCAACCAGCCAAAGCTGGCTTGGGCTCCCCAGCACCATAACAGAAGCAGTAAAGACGGGCCAACAGGTTTTAGGGTATGTTTTCAATCAAAATTTGTACCTGCTATCACAGTAGGCTGCCCCCTCACTTTAGCACCTGCTGAACCTGCGCTACCGTGTCTCTATAGCTGTTGTTAGCAGTGCTAATTAAAGCTAGCCCTGGGTTTTCCTGTATACATCACAGCCATTTTACAGTGTAGTCAAGCCCTGAGGTCCCAAGCTTGTCAGAAGTCTGAAGGAAGCTCTCAACCTCAGAACCAACCTGAAAGCTGGTATGACCATTGTGGGCATGCAGCAGTTCATTCTCATAGAGAGGAAAATTGCCTAGTAAATGAGCCAGGGAATTCTGTACTGCTGCAGACTCCTGGCTGATTGTTGAAGGAGCTCTGAGCAAAAAAACAAAAGGAAGGACTCACAGAAATTAGGGTACCACAGTGAGGGAGAGTGAACTTGCACAGATTTACACATTAAATTTCCAGACACACAGAGCTTTGCCATCCGAGTGCACACTTTGCATGTACTTGCCACAAATTTTCTGACTTGTTTTACATCCACTTTTATAATATCTCAGACCATATTATTTGACCCAGATTCGTATAGCTTGAGTTCTAAACCACTTAAGATTTTCTGCAGGAAACTTGAGGTTTAGAAGTGTCAAAGAAATATGCAGATGCAGTCTTTAATAAAGCTACTTAGCTGGAAAAAATTTGCCAGAAAGTATCTTTGTACTAACGTCAGCCAATTTTTCTAAATTAATTTTGAAACAATTCGTCATTCATCCTCCTCACCTCCTTCCAGTTTACAGCAGTCACTGTAAACATTGCTAGGACAGCACAAGCAGATGATAGAACACTTTCCTTTTAAGAAAGAAGACGGCGTAACTTCATACCTCTATAAACTTCACCATATTTGGTAAAGATTGACTAAAGGTTTGCATTCTGTGACTGCTATAGGAACAGTAGTGGTCATTTCTGTATACCTTGAAGAGCTAAGAAAATTAACCCACCACGCAAAACCACATACAAAGAAAGTATCTTATAGTAAAGCTAATATCAATTTAATAATTTTTAAAAAATATTATTAAACTACAGAGGCAGGCAGGCATGATATTTCGGTGCTCCAGCAACTTTCATAACACTTGCAATGACTTATCTGGAATCTCATCTTGTCTCAGAATATGAAGAGGGATTTTTTTGGATATGAAATAATATGGTACAAAAAGCTCCAAAGAGATAAGAGCCTTGTACCAATCTTGACTTGTCACCATTTCAGTTTTGCAAAACGTGCGCATGCACCATACATAAGTTAAAAGCATTAAAATGAACAGCTGGTGGTAGCCAGGTGGAACTCAGACTTTTTCCTCATTAAAGATAAATAGAAAAAGAACTTCAGACTAATGAAGGGTGAACTCAAAACATCACCTGAAAAGCAAATTCTCTTAAAAACGGCAGGACCAACCACTTCTAGTACAGACATAAAGGATGCTGAGCAAGCACCTTTTAACAGGTGAGTTGTGCTTGTAGATGCAGACAAATCTCTCAACATATACAGGACAAACCACAAAAATTTCAGCCAGTTAAACAAGACTCCCCAGCCAGAAACAGTAAATTCTAAACACAACCATTTACAAGACACCATTTCCAGCTGAAGAACGAGGTGCAGTACCACGAGATGGTGGTGAGTAACAAGTCACATGTCTGTACGTGCAGTGTTTTAAGAATCCAATTTTCTCTGCTCTTCTGGAAACAGGAGTATTACAAGCCTGTGATGGCAGAAAGCTTTCTGAGATTTTTCTTTGCAGAGTTAGGAGAACCTCGGAGAGACGAAAGAAAATGAGGACGTTTCAAGATGTCGATATTTCTGGAGACTACATTTAACATAAAAAGAATACAGAGACTAGAACTCTATTTCGCTGTTTTATAAAAACCATAGAAGCAGTGGTGGGGATTTGCTACTTGTTTTGCTAAGCAGATGAGGAGGCCAATACAATATGTTAATAACTGGAGCTCCAAGTATAGATAGAGAATGTGTGCGCACACATGCCTCTCAATGCAACCGATTAAGTGATGGCTCATTACGTACAAGCAAACTTTACATTTATGACAATGTTATAAGGAATAAAGCACATGATCAAAATCTAACACAGCAGACTGGAGAAGACCATGTACCCAGGTTTTAAACATTTGTTGAGCCAAGCAAATAACTTTATCAAGCTGAAACATCTTTTTAGGTGAAAGAAATTTGCAACTTTAGGGTCTGCACTGAAAAAAACCTGCCCAAAATCCTCTAACTTGGAATGAGATGTTTTTGAGGATGAAAACTGTTTTCTGTGTCATTGCACCC